AGTTGGCTTTGGCCGGCTTTGGTTTCCGTTACCAAAGCCAAATTGTCGCCATTTAAAGTTCTATCAAATAAATATGGACCTACGATCTTTCCATCAACTATACCACACCAAACATTAAGACTCCATCTACATTGAATCTGCACCTCATGTATCCAGGGCCGATTTTCTTCAGCCTAATAATGCATATTATGCAAATTAACACCACCCGCACTATTAAACGTAGCCTCGTCGGTTTACGACGAGTAAAACGATTTATTCATTTTGTTACGAATTTAATGCAGTTTCATTATAATTTATAATAAATAGGTGTTTCCATTAAACATTTAGAAGAAAAACAAATTTTAATTGTTTCTATTCGAAAGTACCCTTTACCTATGACAATTAAAACTAAATGCAATTATTTTATTAAAGATGTAAATTAATTCATCTACATGCTTTCTAATGACACTAGTTTCGTTAAAATCGGTTGATCCACACCAAAGTTATAGGTATTTATCCACAAATAATTTCCCACTCACCCCTACCCTTTATTTGAAAAAATAAAAAAAGTACTTGAACAACTTTGTGCAGAATTTAGGTCTCTTTCTAGTTTACTTATTTAACACTTGGTACATGATACTATGAATAACAAGATAGGATCTTCCCGTAGCTCAAAATCGGTCGGGTTCGCGCATGCCGTCATTGGAGACTAGAATTTGAATTCTTGTTAAAGTTAAATGAGATTTGTATGCATTCTGTGATGAAATTACTAGACGAAAATAAGTTAAGAGGTTTAATAATTACAATAATCGTACACATAAGGATATCTCCAAACTATTTATTAAAGAATATTAATTGATATATACAAAAACTGACATTTCGAACGTGCAAGTCTCCAATGACGTCACAAAAACATGCGCAATATCTTATCTTACAGTCATAGTATCATGACTTGGTATAATTGGGCATATTTCCCAAAAAACAGGTTTTCAAAGTTTTATTCACAGGTTATGCCCCCTAGCGGTTAACCCAGAAACTTGAAAGTTATTTCCAGCGATTTCTTTTGGCCACTTTTACTAATGCATTTTTTCTCCTAAAATTATAACATGAATAGTTTCTGATATATAGCCATGAGATCGGCTCATTGGAGCACCCGGTACATCTTCTAGTTTGTGGCTTTTTAAAGAAACTGTTTATACAAGTTTTCGCTTTGTATGTACTTTATTACAGTCTCCTCTCTCTTATTACGTTTGTCCTGTTCAAAGTTTCCTCTGTTGTCAATATTGTCGGTATTTGTTTTGCCCATTTTGGCGCTAAAATCACCCATAATGATGCAGTAAGTAGTACGAGTTATCTACTTTTCGTGCCGTTGTTATATCTTCATACAACAATTGTTTTATCTACAAATCTTCTGCAGGTTATTTACTTCTTATTTGTATTTTTGCGACATTTGATGGACTACATATATAACATTATCTGATATTGAGTTCACTTTTATAATTAGGTTTTTGATTCTTCTGTTCACTAATATTGTTGCTTCGCCTATGTGCGACTCTTTATCTCGGTTGTATAACCCTTTAAGAGTCAGTGGTAGCAATATCTACTTTTAGGCATTAACACTGCCTAAAAGCTTAAAGTTTATTTTGGAACAGCAGTCATACCACCGTTACGCACTTCACTTGATACATTGAGTATCTCTGGTAAGAATGCATACGTCAACAAGAAATGCTTGCGAAAATAATATGATGATTTTACCAGTATATATATATATATATATATATATATATATATATATATATATATATATATATATATACTGCCCTGTTTGTAGAATTTGGTCTGAGGAGCAAATGCCAGAAGAATGGAGCTTAGGCTTAATTTGCCCGTTACACAAAAAGGGAAACCAACTGGAATGCAATAATTACCGCGGAATAACTCTCCTAAATACAGCATACAAGATATTATCAAATATTTTGCACGAGAGATTAAAGCCTTATACTGAAATGTTTCTAGGGGAATATCAGGCAGGATTCAGGCCTGGACGTTCAACCATTAACCAGATCTTTACACTACGACAGATCCTCGAAAAAGCGCAAGAGTTTAACATAGATATGTATTATATTTTTGTCGATTTTAAAGCGGCATATGACAGTGTCTTAAGACCAAGTCTTTACAACGCTATGAATGAGTTAGGAATTCCAAAAAAACTCATACGTTTGATAAAAGTGACAATGGCGAAGATGCTATCAGCAGTAAAAATTCAAAACGACTCGTCAACCCCATTTCAAATACATAGGGGGTTAAGGCAGGGAGATGAGCTGGCGTGTCAGCTTTTTAATGTCGCCTTAGAAAAAGTTGTACGAGACGCTAATTTAGATAGCAGGGGAACAATATTTAATAGATCAGTTCAAATTCTAGCATATGCAGACGACGTGGACATTATAACAAGAACTAGGGCGAGAACTGCGGAAATCCTAACCGAGCTAGTAGCAGCAGCAGAACGAATGGGGTTACATATAAATCAAAATAAAGCCAAATTCTTGGCGACTAACACAAACACAAGAGCTGGAAATGTTGACACAAATTTAATCATCAATGACCAAAACTTCGAAGCAGTCAATGAGTTCATATATCTAGGGACATCAGTTAACCCCAATAATAATACATCTGAGGAAATAAAAAGGCGAATAATAATTGCAAACAGGTATTATTATGGTCTATCAAAGTACTTTAGCTAACAAACGTCTGTCTTAAAAAACTCGTATAAGGCTGTATAGAATACTGATAGTCCCCGTTCTCACATACGGATCAGAGGCATGGACGCTAACGAAAACAGATGAATCCGCTCTATCCATTTTTGAAAGAAAGGTGCTACGCAAGATATTCGGAGCGGTCTGTGAGAACGGACTATGGAGGCGTAGATATAACTTTGAACTGCAGAATATCTACAAGCATACGTTTGGTGGTAAAGATATTACCACTATAATTAAGCGGAACCGCCTGCAGTGGGCAGGACATGTAGCCCGGGCCCCTGAATCGAACATGATAAAAAAGATTCTAACAGCGCAACCTGTGGGAATGAGACGACGGGGTAGACCAAAGCTGAGGTGGATGGATGGGGTAACACAAGATGCGGAGAAGATCGGATTCGGCAACTGGAAAATTCAAGCAAGGGACAGAACAGAATGGCGTAGAAAGCTTGAGAAGGTCGAGGCCCTCTAAGAGCTGTAGCACCAAGATGATGATGATGATGATATATACTGCCCTGCCAAGGAAAAGGGCAGTATCTGCAAAACATCTGTTTTAAGATAAATGGAAGTAAAGTTTCAAATTGGATTATTATACTTAAATGGATTATTTTCCTTATATACTTTTGTTGTATTGTCATATGTGATACTAGCTTTGCTTTAAAAGAATAAAATCAATATAATAATTCAGTTTTTAATAAGAAATATCACTTACTTATTTTTTTTAACCAAAAAATGCCAAGCTAAAAGGCAGTATGTACAAGTTACTGCTCTTTTCCTTAGCAATGTAAAATTAACAAAAGCAGTAACTACACTTTTTTTAACAAGATTTTATTAGCTAGTTAAAGCTACAGGTCTAAAAAAATTACAAAAATATAAAATTCTCAAAAAATTGTCTTTAACATGTAGGTAGTCTCTCCCAGAATACTCTTCTATTTTCTGGAATAATATTTTGTAGCACTTGAAGTAATTGGTCTTTTCTTTCCCTTGGAAATTTTTTAGGTGAGACTAGTTTGGTAGGTTCTGGTATCCCAGTCTTCAAAATCCTCGGTTGCAACAAATTAAGTTCCTTGAAGTCTTCTGATTTGTCATACGTGCTTTTATACTGTAAGGTGTGTTTACCCCTTTCAAACTTCATGTGAACAATATGTTTGAGATAAGGTCTGTCTGGCTTGGCTTTTATTTTCGCTTCAGACTTCCAATTTTTCCACACAAAAAAGTTATCAACTCATTTTAAATACATCAACATGCCCTTTATGGGCAGCCCCTACAGCATCAACAAAATCGTACGTTTTTTTCTGTGCTTTTAGTGACAGTTCCACCTGGTGATGAAAACTATCGGCACTCATAAAGGTGTGCCCAGGCTCGAGTCACACAGTCCAGCTTCCGTTTCTATCTTCAACTTACAGCATATTTCCCTCTTACCTTTGCCGTTGATCCAGCTTTCTTTCTTCCTCTTTTTTTTGATCACTGTACAAATATAGGTTTGCACATTAGTCCAACCGTCTTTATTTTCAATAATTTTTCTCACTGTAATAAAATTCACACCTGTCTCTCTTTCCATTCTGTTCCTTTCTACTGTCCAACTTCATCAGATGGACAGTGTTCATTTGGTTCTTCTAATGTTGAGCAACTCCCCCCTCCCCCCCCAACGCAGCCATACTATTCGCAGCCTACGTGCTCCTCATTATCCGTTTTGGTGTAACGTAACATGTCCCTCTCAGATTTTACGTGTTTCTTGGGTGTTAGACACGTACCTGCATTATAGTTCCAAACTTTGCCTTTCACCTTCAGAATGATGGCTGTGGTTTTCTCTGGTGCGAGTTTCAGTCCGTGCTACGTCACGTGGGGACCCCGGCAGATACGTCAATGATTGCTGCCTTCTCCACCATAATCCTTCTCTCGGACAAATACTAAGCCACCACATTCATCAGACAACCAGGACATTATCTCTCCTTCATTGGCTTTTCCCTTTGCAAAAACCAAATTGCCTTGGAGATAAACCACCTGACCTCTCAATCATGTATCCGCATCCTTTCATACAGCTTATCGATGCACGGAAGGAGGCAGGTGGGGCGATACTTACACAGGCAGTACTAACCTTGATGTCCTACAGGACTCAGGAAAGGTCTGTGCCTCGAGCAGTGCATTCATGAGATTAATTTTAATTGTACACCGTCTTTATTGAATAGCAGAATAATTGATAATAGTAATCTCTTTTTAACATTCGCTTTAATATCCTTTATTGTCAAATCAATATTAACAAAAATAATAGCCAGATAAAAATATAATTTATTGTCATTCACCTATTTACAAACATTCTCACAATATAAAAACATGTACCTTATAAATATTACATAGTGATGTAAATATATTTACATTACACATACATAAATAGTTGACAACAAATATATATAAAGTTTCGAGAAACATAAAACACTTAAGTCAATATTGGTCCGTATTAACAAGTACCTACAAAAATAAAATTGGACTTTTCGAAGAGATTCGGTATAAAAGTATTCGCCTTTATGTTTGGATCAGCCCTTATAATATAGAAATAACACAAAAAAAACTAGTTTTTTTACATTACTAATACAACTAAACGTTTTTACTAATAGTTTTACAATAGTAAATGTCCTCAAAGTAGAATAGAATCACAATCATTAAAATGGAATGTTATAAGACGTTAGCGTTTACAAGTGTTTCTACACCTTTTTTCGTACTGAAATTGGGCATGAATCTTAAATTTGACATTTGTCATAATTATCACGTATATTCTAAATCTGCTATAAGTATCTAAATTTAACCATACTTTATGCCATATTGTCATAGTTTTGGATTATATTGTTTTTATTAGAAATGTTTTATAATTTTTGTGTTAGTAAGGTATTTTAGTTCAGGTGCTTCTAAATGAGTAATATTTTTACTGCAATATGTGGCTCTGATACTGGCAACACTGTCTCAGCCATTTAAGACAATGTTGAATACAGCAGATATCTCAGCAACAGTATGGCCCGTAAATTTGTTCGTAAATGGGCAATACAAGCGAGTAACAATGGAGGACGAAATCATACTCATCGTATCGACTTATGTTAAAAGAAAATAAAAAATAAATGATTGTGGATTTGACCTAAAAAGGCGTGACTTTAGACAACACTAATTTGCCACTAGCACTTTTAATCTTTTTCCCTTATAATTTGGGTACGTAGCTTTTTTGATTTTTTATACGCTTCATCACTTAAAATCTCACATTTTTCAGTGTCATCCATCCGTCTTTTTGGCGGTTCGATCGTTATATATTCCGATTTCCGCATTCCACAACTCAGGCCGCAAATGTATTTCGTTAATAAAATCTATAATCTCTCTCCTCCGTCTACTGCAATTGATTCTCCAGGGGAAAATAAGACAGTAAGCGAGGGTCAGGCAGGAAAAGACACTCGTGGCTCCAAAATCTGTGGACGTAGTTCGAGCTCACATCGGTCGAACTATTCAGAAGCGCCGCAAACAAGATCAGAGTTGCCATGTTAATAGCTAACGTTCGCAACGGGCAGGGCACTTGAAGAAGAAGAAGAATCCTCTCATTGGTCATTTTATTGATCCAAAATTTATCAAAACAACAAATAATCACCAAAACCAAGTAAATATTGCAAGTATTTTCGATCGCCAAGCTTTCGTCAGGTAACTATTGTAAAACAATAGTGGCGATACCAAAAATGTGTTGGTGGCTACGATAGATTATATGACCTAGACATAGATATACTAAAAACATTCCCCTATATTGCGTAGTCTGGCCGTTATTGTTGGCAATATTGTCAGCTATTGTGTTGCAGCCACATATTGCGGTGACAATATTACTCGTTTAGAGGCACCTTTATTGTTGAAACAGTTCGCTATCGTCTTTTGGTTTAAAATTTTTCGGAAATATAATAATCTAATTTTGTAAACTCCAATATAGATAAATAACCACTTTTAATCAAGTTATTGTAAGATATCCAATTAGATAAATAACCACTTGTAAACATGTTATTGTTAAGAAATTATTTTTATGAACCCACAATTCAGATATAAAACAGGACCGTGTCTATTACTTAAAATATTATAAGTATGACAATACCTCTAGTAATATCGCATTTATTATACATTTATTTTATGGATATAATTTGAGTATAACTCGTTTGAACGAAAAATAAAATCAACCTATAAGTTTAAATTTCTGTTATAATAATTTTAGTTCTACAATAAAAGTAAACTTGGAAAATAGTACACGTTCATAAAAATGAAGCGATTGTAGCAAAATATAAGTAATAATTACCTGGAACTAATTAATGATATGATTGTAAATATACCTGTTGACGATACCATGGTATTAAATTAATCTATTTCATCAGCATATTAAATCTATGCACAATATTTTCGTCTCTAGACAAAAAATAAATAATTATAAATAATTAAAAATAATAAATATTTTTTTTTTCTGTAATCACTGAAAGTGGAGCTATAAATAAAAATAATGCAGTAAAGAAAACTGACACTTTAAGTAAAACAACACTCATGTAAAAATATGGGTATACCTTTCAATAATACAACGGTGTACAAATTATGATTTGCAGATGACCAGATAGTACTTTCACAGGATTATGATGACGATGAATATAAAATATAAAAAACGGAGCTTAGAGGTAAACATCGACAAAACGGAATACATGTGTATAGGTGGAGAGCAACAAGGAAACGTACGAAGCTACTAAACACAAAAACAACGACGGAAGAAGAGTAATAACACAGCTGAATAGCATATTGTATGATAGAAGTTTACCAAAAGAAAATAAACACAGAATATTTCTTCTTCCTCACGTGCCATCTCCTCTAAGCCGCTGCTCTAAAGAGGTCAGCAGAAGTGCAGTTGAACCAAGATCTCAAATTATTCAACCAGGAGATGCGTCTTCTTCCGCGACTGCTTCTACCCTGTATTCTTCCTTGCATTATTAATTGCAACAAGTTATAACGCTCGCCCCTCATAACATGTCCCAGATATTGCACTTTTCTGACTTTAACTGTATTTAAGACCTCTTTATCTTTACCCATTCTTCTCAACACCTCGACATTCGTGACTCCATCTACCCAACTTATTCTTAATATCTTTCTGTAGGCCCACAACTCGAAGGCTTCCAATCAGAATATACAGAATATATAACATTCTCATAAAAAGTAAAGCAACTTATAGCAGAGAGGGGGTAAAGGGATGTGCTTCTTTGTCAATCAGCGTAAAGCTAAGCGGTAAAGGAGGTAATCCTAGGTAACGAGTTTTGCACTTTCTTTCGAGATTCTTAGAACTTTGCACTCCTTAAACCGTCCCAAGACCGCTGGCTATTCCCAACAATGATTAGAGGTGTGTAATCTTTGATTCCGCACTTCACGAGGTGGCCCTGTTAATACCGAACCCAGCGGATCTATACTGGAGATAATCGATAACACTCCCCAAGTCGTGAGACAACGTGGTGAAGGCTGTAAGGCCCTAGGGTGACAGAATGACAGTGTCACAGACGGTTCCTTTAGGACAACAGGTAGTTCTCCATCGTATTTAGTCTGACCGTCGAAAGTGAGGCTCTACGAGAGGTGGAAGTCTGTCTCTAGCAACTTATGGAACCAATATGGTAAAGAAGAAAAAAAAAGGAAAAAACTTAGGGCTAAAGGATTCCTGAAGGCTAAATGCCACGAAACTCTTAAGCCAAAACCACGGTTCCTAAAGCCTAAGGACAAGGAACTTCAAAAGAAAATCCGAACGCCGAAAGGCCAAGAAGTTTCAAAGAAGTCTGTCAAGGCTTTGCGTTGAAACATGTTGATCTATCTGGCATTAAAGCTAAAATCAGTAAGCTGGTGAAACAAGGTCAAGATTACATACAAGCCAAAAGGGCTGTAATCAAGGCCAATTTTACCAAGGCCGCTCCAAGGACAAAACCATTAGAGCTCATGACAAAACAGTAGTTTTGTCATGGCCGCTGCCGCTTCTGTTAAGGTTGGGACAGTACTAACAGGATTCTCAGAAGCCAAGATGGATGTGGAAAAACTTCCAAAAAAGACAGTCCAAAAAGCTATTCTGGTGGCTTATGAAAAAATTCCAGAAGTAGCACCTCAGGTATGTTATTATTACATAAAGTTGTGATTTCATGGCCAGTTTGGGATAATGGACATTTTATATTCCACAAGGAAAATAAAATTCCTCTAGTTGGTTATATACCATAAATCATAAAAGTTTTATTTAAAAATCCTTTATAAAAAGTAAATTATTACAGACCCTTTTACACCCCTTAAAAGGGACCCTTAGAGCCTAGAGACCCTAAGACCCTTAAAAAGGCTACATCACAAAACGTTTTCGGACTAAAACGCCCATCATAAAGCCTAAATATCTGGTTAAAAAACCTTAAAATGATATAAAATTTATTATGTGGTACATTTTTTTGTTTGTACGAGTTTAAGAGTGTTTACCTAGATATTTAGTGAGTTGATCCTTGTATACCTGGTAATAATACACTGATGATGAATTTTCAGTCCAAAAACGTTCTCTGATGTAGCCCGAAATGGCCTTTTTAATTATACACCATTTACAAAGGATTTTTAAATAAAACTTTTGGACATTTGACGCTTTCTATAAAATTCTTTATGTAACAATCACCCTATTTCTGCATTTATATGTAAGAGGTAAATTAGATAAAAAATACACCGTGTAAATGTGTCATTAACCTTGGCTAAGACAGTAGAAGAACATGAGAATGTTAAAAAAATACTGTTTTAAAATTATAAGAATTATATATCGTTTTTTTTTTTAATAAATGATCCTAAAAAAAATTGCATATTCCTAAGAGCTTATTTATAACAACTGTTATCTTTACAGCTTCCTCAACAGAAGAGAAATATAGAAAAGCCAATTTTAAAGTGGATTTTAAATAAAAGTGTACTAAATTCAAAGTATCTACCATAACAACATAATATCGTTTCATTTTTGTTGTTGAGATAGGTATACAAAAATATTTATATTTTCTATAACCTAATATTGCCTTTTTGGAAACTACTTTATTCTTATACTCCTTTGCTTATTCATGTTCGTCAACATGAGTGAAATGTAAGAAGTTAAAAGATCGTCCATTTTGTAACCTAAGGAGGTTTCGCACAACAATTTTGATCCCCTAACTAAGTTTCCTATGGTCATATGGAAGTACGTGTTGCCGGAAGACCAATTGGAAATCCTGGTGAAGGGATGCGTTACCAAAATATCCTGGAACAAATATATACATATTAATATTAGACGAAACATTTATAATTTTGAGTTTTATCGTAAATATCCACAAAATATTGAGTGTAAAATTATTCTTTTGGAACCATTTAGCAGTGTGTATGATTAATATAAATATTGCTGACTATGATTTAATCAATTTTCATCATTAACTTTACTTTTTTGTAACTTTTCAAAATGTCAGGTGGGGGAGTCCATAAATTGTTAAAACAATTATTATGTAAGGAAAAATCATAAAAAAAGTATCAAAAGAAAAAGTCATTCAATAACTCTTAGATTTGAGACTTACTCAATTACACTAACATAATAGCAGACATCATCTAGTAAATAAGCTGTGTGCAAGATTTTTTCACATCAAACGTTGTTTTGTCTGGAGAAACGTTTGAATTAAAATTATTTTATAAAAATCAAAATATATTGGTAACTTTTCTACAAGAGCAAGAGCAAAGTTGCCGCTTCTGTTGAGGTTGCGGCAAGTTAAGGCAGTCCAAAAAACCATCTTGGTGGCTTATAAAGAAATTCGGAAGCACAACCGCAGGTTCGCTTCCTGAAAAGTACCCACAAGCCGGGTTTTCTAAAACTGTGCGGAAAACAGACTTGCGAGGTGGCCGAAAGAGGTGTTTCCAATCTTAAGGGCTTGAGAGGGTTCATCTCCGAGCTTTAAATAGAGAAGATATTTCCAAGCCGCACTCATGCACTGTTGTCGTACACGATGAAGATTTTGAACGTCTTGAGTTCAAATGGATGTTTAATAGACTAAGGATAAGTAACCATAGGCTCACTATACATATATGGGGAGTCTAGGGTAACAAACCTTCACCTAAAAGAGGTTATATAGATCTCAATGGATTCTGAATCTCCATAGGAGCTCCAGAAACTCAAAATGTAATCCTCTTACGGTTTGAGGATAGTTGACTTTTGAATCCAAGGAAGGGAAGACAAAATCACTAGAAGAAAAGCCAGTAGCAACTCGCTTTAGTGAAATAGGGGTAATTCCCTACATATGGATGTTCAGGAAAAGGAAAAATCTTGCTTAGGTGGAACCAAACCACTCGTAAGGACTACTGTCCAAGAGTGTGACCAAGAATGTGACCCATAGAAGAAGGAAAATCCACGGCATCAGAACCGAACACCGAACTGTGTTACAAGACAATGGGTAGCGCACAAATCTCTGCAATGGTAGAGGAATTTACCAGGAAAAAGACAGGTGCATCAGTTTATTACAGAACATTTGCCAACATTTTAAGCAGAGCTAATAAGCAAAGACAGGAAAACAGCTGATGGGATTGTCAGATGATGATCTATGCATATTATATCACCTAAAAGAAGAAACAGCAGAGCACATTTTATGTCAGTGCCTGGCAAATGTACGGTTTTTTGCATTAGGCGAAGACAAGCCACCAATAAAGAGCTACATGGAAGGTTCAGTCTCGAAGTTATTAGACCTTCTAGTATTTTAGGGGTAGAGGACCACAGTTGATCTAAAAAGATCGCAGTAGAATAGGCCGAAAGCCACCTTATTGAATCTATCTATCTATCTACCCTGCAAGACTGACCATAACCATATCAACAATAACAAAAATTCATAATGTTTAGCAAAAAGCTAGAATTTGTCAAACTATGGAAAACATAAGCTAACAGTGAAAGAAAACTACTTTTCTTTCATTGTATAAGGAAACCTTTCACTATTTTCATAGTGTCTTTTTTTTCGCAAATGTACATTCAATGTCAACAGTTGCTGGATTTGACAATAGATAATGATGCATTTCACTGCATAGCCGTGTCTTCACCCCTTTAATTTTAGCAATTTGCAACAGAAGAATCAAGTTTGAGTAGATATAAAAACATAGGTCAGAGTACGAAGGAAGATATGTTAGAAAAAAATGAAGCTTAGGAGAAAAATTGCAAAATGAATTTATGTCTTGGAAATCACAGGAGTACAGAAAGCTGTATTGTGGTTCATGCCGGTTCAGCAAAAGGTTTTATTTCAGATGCCAGATTGTTATTTTGTTCCAAATACTTATTCTTACTCCTTATGCCATTTTTACAAAATTTTACTGATGCTGACACGACAAAAGTTTCATTTTGTTATTAAACAGTTTTCACATCGTTGTCAAAAAATTGTGGAAAAGTTGAGTTTTGTCATGCAAATAATCACTATATTATCATCGAAAGGAATATTGAATCAAATGGTAGTTAACATCGACGCAATTGGTAGATAAAAACCGTTAAAATACCTTTACTTGTACACAAGACTAAAACTATAGTTTATAACTGATATTGCGTCTGGGAATTTGGTGTTTTTTTTTATTAAGATAAGAAAATTTATGGTCAATTATAAAGATAATACCGAGTAACAAATTTGAAGACTAGATTGTAAAAATTCCCACGATTGTAAAAATAAAAGCCCAAAGTTCAAAGACCAGAACCACAGTCTTGGTTCTAAATTTTTTGAACAGTTCAATTGTATTTATAAATAATTAGGAAACAAATATTTTTCTTTAAAATGTAAATAACAAACTTGTTTGCTGAACTTGATTCCGGTTATTAAAGAAATCTTATATAATCATAACAATGTAAATCGTAGTTGTTCCCACAGGTGTAATTATATATCCTGTTTTAAAATAATGATATGTGTATTTAGCTTTATTAATGTGTTTTGAGTTTTTTAATTAAGATTATTAACTCTAATAAATAATATGATTGCGTTATAAATGAGTCACTAGAGTTTTTAATATTTGCTATATACGAGTACTCATTATTTTACATCCAAAAATACCATTTGGTTTCCCTTATAAGATGAAGATTCTTTACAAAGTGGATCTTCTATTAAAAAAACAAAATGAAATGTTCTGACTAATTTTGGATTGTTCAGAGCAGATTTTTTCAAAGATTATTGCATCTAAGATAAATACACAAATAAAAATGTATCATTCGCTGACAACTCAACATATTCAATGCAAAAAAAGATTCTTGTTTAGTACTTGGTAAACCTCATACTGCAAAGAAAACATAGCATCAATGGTACATCTATTAGATAAAAAGCCAAACTGATTTTGTGATCAAATGTTGTTTTCAACGAGAAATGACATAAGTCAGGTTTTTATAGGTCTCTTAATAATTTTGGATATCATCTTCTATTTTAAGAGACTCTGTCTTTGAAATATTCATATTGAAGGGAAACGATGGGGTTATTTTCAACGTTCCCTGAGAGCACCAAAACCCTTGTGGTGACCTGTCTTGATTTGTTACAGGATTTAAGCGTAGGTTGCTGATTCGTTTTGTTATCCTTGTGGGGGTGAAATTATACACTTACACTTTACTTCTTCGCTTTATTTTACTTGCAAACTATTTTACATATATACACCTTGCACTTTGCAACACTAAACTGACTTATAATTTATAATATAACTTGTAATATATATATATATATATATATATATATATATATATATATATATATATATATATATATATATATATATATATATATATATATACGGGTGAGAGAGAGAGAGAGAGAGAACGAGGAGAGAGAATAACTTATTTAGCGACTTCTTAACTTGAACTACTTAATGCGACTTCCCTTATATGCTTGTATGCAATATGTGGCCAGCTTGGGTAAATGACAAAGGGTCAGCGGGTGTAAGGGGGGCGTCAAATGCACTGAAGATTTCTGGTTCTTTTAACTAATAAGGGCTAACATGTGTTATTCAGGAACAGAGGCGGCGTTAGGTTAAATTGAAACAGTTAAAGAATTAGTTGGTTTTCCAACACATATTGAGGTCACATTTTTCATATTCTTTCTTAATTTTATAAACATGTTGTCCACGTGTTCATCTGCAAAAAATAAAGTTGTTAGACATTTATCATCGCCTATGTCTCTTCCCATTCCGGATACTTGTTTCCACCACTGCTCTAGCGATGATTGAATATACATTTTAAATAAGGTTTTAAATATAGTTTCCTTCTTTAACGACACTTCTTTCATTTTTGTATATCTTTGCGATAGCATTCACATACTCTCTACTGAGACCTACTTCCGTCAATGTTTGAAATAGCTTTTTTAAAGGTACCGTATCGTATGCCTTCTCTAAATCTACAAACAATAGGTGGGTAGATATATTCCTTTCCTTCCGTTTTTCGATTACCTACTGCAGAACAAATTAAACTCCGCCTCCGGTAAGTGCTGGATGGATTAAGTACCTCAGTAAATGCCGGTGCCGGTCCCAAACCCAGGTAAAGGAGGAGGGTTGAGGCGATGGGCTAGCAAGGCATACCTTGTCAAAAGAATTAAATGCTAAAAATTTCGACCAAAAGCCTCGGAATACAAAGGATGGACACTGGAAATATACCATTTTCAAAGAAATCATTAATTAGTGAGACCAGAACTTCCAACACATTTTTTGGTAGATTTGAGCACATTTTTATAAATAGTACTATGGGAAGATTTGCTCTTGATACTCTTGATATTTTAGATCATTTCAGATTTATCTACTCGTCTTATACAGAATAGATTGAGACCTTTTTTGAATTGGGGAGATGGGGAATGGGATCTTGTTGTGTCAAAATAGTTGTTGTATTTTAACTCAAATTAACCAAGTATTCATTTAGGTTTTCAGGGTTTGAAAGGGAAAATGTTTGAGCTGTGTTAGTTTTATTTCAAAGATCCTTTATTATGGACTAAGTTTCTTTTGCAACACTTTTAGAGGTTCCCAAACGATTTTGATAGTACGCTTTTTTAGCTGTTTTAATAAGTTTTAGATGGTACATAGTGATATATTCAGTGACAAAGACGTTGGTAGTAAATTTCCTGATGCATAATCAATTATTATTATTGTAGATGTTGTTTTAGTAATTCTTTAGTAATTCTCTAAACAGAAAGTCATATTTTGTTACCGGGGAGAAGTCATTATTTGTAGAAAAAATTATGAGCTGGACTTGGACGATCATACTTAGCAATTGTGGTATACTTTTCTACA